GAATCAGCAGATGAGGAGGGTGCTAGATCCGTCGGAGGTGCTGCCTCAAAGGGACTAGTAGGAGGAGATTGATTTCCCCTATGTATAGGTGTTTCTGGTTCTGGCTCAGGTGGGGGCGGATCAGTTCTCTTAGGTAATCTAGTCAAACACCATTCATTACTATGCATCTTAATCTTCTTAATAAGTTTCTATTGATAATGTTGAATCTATCTAGTTTCATAATTTCTTCATTTGGTGGAATGACTATGTCATGTGCATGTATCAGCCTAGTAATCAAGTCACCATATGGAAGCATCATTGTTTTCTTCCCACTGACAATTCTGCAGTTCCAGTTCGTTGAGTGACACCAATGAGTTCTTTGTCATGTTTGGTCCAACTGCACTGGTTCTTCCAAAATCACTCAGTTCTATAATAAAAATCTCTTGAGGAGTTTCCTCAGAAGCTATGTAGACGCTACACTAAGATACTGAACAAGAACATAGAAATTTGATGATAAAGGAATTTACAAGCCCTGAGTTGGTTGTTTGACTTGGATATAAAGTACATTGAAATTCGATTGGAATAAAACAGTTTGATCTACTTGAATTTGAGATTGAAAATTATGTTCTCATGCAATATTAACTCGATGTAGGAGTTAGCAACAAGTACTTTTTCCTGCCTTATTGGTGCCCAGGTGAGGTTAAATATATATATGGCTTAATTAGTATAGTATGAATCAAACGATCGAGTTCAGGCAGCCTTCTGTGAACCTGTGGAGATGGAAGCTTAAAAATTGTAGCTTCCAAGAACGAGCAGTGACATTCAAGTTTTTTTTTTTTTTGTCCCTAAAACTTTTTACATATTATCACCCATTTCATTTGAAACCACTTTTATGGATAACTGGATTGCTACATGTGGATTCCTTTATTTTCTTAGTTTTCATCCTGATTAAAATTATGTGGTTGTTAGATGTTGCAATAAAATAGTGTTCTGGGGTATCAGAACACTTTTGTAAATTGGATTTTGAAGGGTTCTACTCTGGTGAGCATTATAGCCACCAAAACAATTAAATATTCTTTGATTCGTTTTAAGATTGTAGATTTCTTGGAGTTAAATTAGAGTTAATGGTTGAAATTGTTGTTTCGATTTGTGTTCTCTTGTCATTAATTGACTCAGATACTTCTTGTCTTCTTAACTTGTTTGTTAATTTGGTCGGGACTAACTAATTCATCGAAAGCATGTTTAGGGTGCAAGAACAAAGGCTGGAAGGGTGTTTGTTAAACAAAAGCTTGTTTACCAGAAATCCGACATGCTGTCTTTTTCTACACTGGTTTTCCATGTCAGAGGCTCCAATATCAGTTCTGAAGGTTCGTGAGAGCCACTACTTTCATCTTTGTCCACTTAGCTCAAAGCTTGTTTCTAGATTTTTACCATTACCTTGAAGTAATGCCATTAAATCTGTAGTACCTTAACCTTGAATTGATATATATGATGCATGTTGTTTACCTTGCTTTCTATCTTTGTCATGTGATGTTTTTGAATTCTTTGTATTCTCCACTGTATATTTCTTGCTAAAGTTGTTGCAGTTTCTTTGGGTCCAACGGTCTTCTTTGATTCTCATTCTAGTTTTCTTTTCCCTGCAAAAGCTGATAGATCTTGATCATGAGATGAAGGCTCAAAGAGCACACTGCAGTAGCCATAGTATGTCGAGATCAGCCCCAGTTGTCACCATCCGTCTCAGACTTCGATTGCTGGAGAGCAGCATAAATCATCAGCAAATATCGACAAACTAACGTTGAGAAAATAAAATGTGTGGCTACAAAATTTGATCTTCCACCATCCCCTCGAGCAATGATGAACGCAATGTATTGGTTTCATAACTTGCAAGTGTCTGAAGACAAGCCAAAGACCATGTTGGAGTCGCAATCAAGAACATTGTCACTTTGTAGCAGCAAAACATAGGTATGAACTAGTGAAGTCGATGACAGAGAAAGGAAAGGCTGAGCTTGGATTTAGTTTATAGCCTCTGTCAGCACCACAATAAAAGGAGTTTGCTGCTCTAAAAGTGTGAAACAATCACAACTCTGCATCAAATTCAACGGCACCAGCAAAATCTCTGATGGTAGTGTATGAATGTAGTGCATTGGTGCTAAAAGATCAGGTAGATAAGTAGCAGCATGTGGAGCAATTCTCTCACTCACCAGAGTTAGCCATTTCTCTTGACTAGAGCTTCATCTTTGAATCGGCAGCACGACCCAATAGTTTTTTGTTGCAAGGCTTCAATAATCTTCCACCAAGTGAGGGATCCCCAGTCAAGCAACCATGCTATTTGAAAAATAAGAGTCAAAATGCATTCAGTTTCACTTGGAAATGAAATCCATTTCTTATGGTACTTATCATGTATAGCATGAATGAGGAGGTAAAGTCCCCAGAATTTTTTAATTGGTTATATATATATAATCTCTGTGTCTATGTGTGTGTGTGTGTGTGTGTGTGTGTGTGTGTGTGTGTATAATATTTACTTTTTCAAGTGTGGATGTTTGAAAGGGATTCAATCCCATGGGCTTTCTGACAAGAGTCAAATGGATCGATATTAGCATCATAATGAAACTAATTGGTTCATTATTATGATGGTAATAATATAGGGGTCTGATGGACGATTTGATAGTATAAGCAAATAATGAAATCATAATATAATAGTATCTCTAATGCCATAGTGTAGAGGTTCTGCTTGCTTGATAATGAGGAGAATGTTTTGTCTTGGAATGGTGCCTACATACATTCCAACTGGGCAATATGTGGTGGCCTACGTTCTGTATGACTTGGTTTTAATGGAATTTGCTTTCTTAAAACAAATAAATGGTATTGGTGTTGGGTAAATATGAAGTCTCCGGCAGAAGTAATTCTAGAGATCGTTGTTTTTAGAATCACGAAAGAAATCGAAAACATCGATATGACCGTCGATTGATCCAATTCATTTATAAGATTATGGATGTGATAACCCACAGTAAACAGTAAGCTTAAAGAAATTTGATCTAATTATATAAGTACAGTTAAAATTATTTAAATATCTTTAATTTAAACTTTTTATTATTTATTTAAGAAGATATTTATGTTAATTTTGAAAATTATGATTCATGCGAGTAAGATCTCTCTCTTCCTTCGACGTCCACATCTCTCTTCCATTGCTCATATCTTACTATTATCGTTCTCTCTCTCTTTCTTCGACGTCCACATCTCTCTTCCATTGCTCATCTTTCTATTATCGTTCTCTCTTCGTCTATTCGTTCATATATCTTCTAAGTCTAGTCACCAAAATGAATATGAAAAGAGAGAACCATATAATGTTGTAAAAAATAAATAAAAGAGTATGAGATATGATATAGAATGGATTCCTTCAAGTAGAGTAAATGACATTTTGATAACTAAAAAATATCTATTTTTATCTATGAGAAATTCATATACATGTGTCGTTGTCATGACAACTATGTTAATAGATTATTTCTTTAATATTATTGAATAATTTATTTTGAGTTGGATTTATGTAAGAAGGGCAATCCCCTTACTATTAACAATCCTCTCAAAAATAATAAAATATAATTTTACTATTTATGATCCTCAATTATCAATCATACTCTTATTCTCCTATTCCCTTGTTTCATCTCTTGAAACCCTAGTTGCACTGACATCACTCCATCATCAAGCGCTATTGACGTCGCTCACTGCTCAACAAGTAAAGAAGTAGAAGAACAAGAGGATATTTACGTCCATCTGATGTCGCTCAGTATCACTCAGATGCTTGCAATTATGAGAAAAAGAAGGAAAAAAGGGGGATGATGATGAGGAGATCTATACCCACTTATAGAGGGGTATCTCATAGACATTAATTTTTTTAAAAATAATAATATAAATAGTAAAAAGGGATGCGAATAGAAATCTCTTTTAAGTAGTTACTTCTTAGATATTACCATATGTTATTTAATATAGATAAAAATTAAAATTCATGTTTATAATATTGGTCGATATTTATTTTTATCATATTGTATACTACTGAAGTTTTATTTTCATTTATCTAATCACTCCATCATCAAGCGCTATCGACGTCACTCATTGCTTGACGAGTGAAGAAGTAGAAGAAAAAGAGGATATTTACGTCCATTCGATGTCACTCAGATGCTTGCAATTATGAGAAAAAGAAGGAAAAAAAGGAGATGATGATGAGGAGATTTATACCTATTTATAGAGGAGTATCTCATAGACATTAATTTTTTTTAAAATAATAATATAAATAGTAAAAAGGGATGCGAATGATAATCTCTTTTAAGTAGTTACTTCTAAGATATTACCATATGTTATTTAATATAGATAAAAATTAAAATTCATGTTTATAATATTGGTCGATATTTGTTTTTATCATATTGTATACTAAAGTTTTATTTTCATTTATCTAAGATTGGTTATTTTTCATTAATTATAATATATTTTTTTATTTTTTTACTATGTATAATTTTTAATTATTTTTTATATTTGTAAACATTCGATCCAAATATTCTCATAATTAGGGGGGAAAGGCCTATATGAGAGATCTTTCAATGATCTAAAAAAAAAATTCAAATATTATTTTTGTAACTCAAATCCAAATATTCTCGACAAAAGTATCGAACATGCTTATAAATTTCTTGCATTAAAGAGATATTAGAACACTAATTAACTGACCCCAACAAAAGTAAATCATATATGATTTTAACTAAGATGAGGGATGCATATTGCCACTACCTTTCATTAGTTGAAGTTGGGGCTAAACTCATTTACTTCCAAATTCAAGAAGACAAAAAGAAGAACAGAATCAAATTGTGCTGTAGAGACTATATAGTGTTCTTAAAAAACCCAGTAGTAGTCTCACAGAGATGAAACCACAAAGAGTAATCTATAAGCCATCCAAGTATTCATTTCCACCACATCAATTCTACCTTAACCAAGGCTTGCATCATTATTTATCACCTTCGCGGTCCGGATTGATATGATCACCAACATACATATCATACCAGCTCGATATTTCAAGACCTTTGACTTTTAACTATACATGATAACCTTCAGAAGATGACCTGATCTATTCAGGTTAACTGTTAAAATTTGAGTATTTTTGATGTTGTAATCTATAAGATAGGAGCAGGGGTTTTAAAAGGAAGAACACAAGAATAGGTGACATATTTGACACTGTCCAGAAGCACCACAACAAAAATGCGAGATAAGGACTTCCGAGAGATCATACCGTCGCCATCGCCATTACCAGCTTCTTTAGGATCAGCTAGGATGGAGACCACTACCGAGGAAACCGGTTTAGTGTCATCGAAGTTGCTGCTTTTGGACGGCTTCCCAAACTGCGTGCCATTCCTATTAGTTGTTCCATTAAGTGGGACTGTCTCGGGAAACAGTATCCTCCTGTTCTTTATCCTCCCTTGTTGTGCAGATGCAGAAGGGAGATCCTCGGAAGCATTAGCAACAGAAGTAGACCTCATAATTGAAGTGGCAGGGATGATGCTGCTCGAAGATGTTGGTGAGATATCAAACTGGAACACCTCGGTGCACATGCCAGAACTTAACATTGGCCCTGTTGTGACATTTTCGTCAGAAGGTACATGATAAATAGTATAATACAATACAATGTGAGATCATTTCAAAAAAAAAAAAAGTACGAGTAACTGATGCATTCGGAACACAACTAAATCTGTCACCAAGCAAATATGTCCAAAACCTTACGAAGAGTGAGAAGAAGGTCCGACTCTAATCAGACCTCCTGAGCCAGATGGACAAAATGCTGAAACCTGTGGCATGCTTCAATGATAAAATTATTCATGAAGTCAACATTGAGATTGCGCCGAACCAGAGCATGTTCTCGATATTTAATCAGCATGTATCAGAGGAATGCTCTTTAACCCAAAAGCACATCAAATAATCAAAGCAATTTAGAATAAACAAGTAGACCTTGAGCTTGCATCAAAGAAGATATGAGGAAAGCTAGACGATATGAGGGAAGCTTGTAAGAAGACATTGCTTGCTTCTCATAACAAAGTGCATGCCATTTTGCACTCTGATGGACTAAATAATGAGAAACAACTTGATGTGTGATTGAGTACTTACAAATCCTCAAGTCAAACAAAAAAAGGTATATGGTGCAAGTTCATCAACCTTTAAGATTTCAAGAGCATACTATGCTCGCAACTTATATCTGCAGATAATTCAGTGATTTCCTTGAAAGCTATTCATGCCTTGTTACAAACCACTGATGACCTTTTATACAATTGGATTATAGTCCTAAATTCACCAAAGACAAACACGAGTATTCCAAGTAAATCTTGTACAGAGATATGTTCTACTCTACCTTGGGCATCATGGAATATAACCTAGCAAATACTCTTAAGATTCCATTGTCAGAAAATCTTCAAGCTTGGGACTATATGGGCCTTAATGATATGACAGACTTATGCATTAGGCGTTACAATGTGAACCACTAAAAGAAAAGATGGTAAATTGGAGCTTATTAGAGCCATATTCTTTGACTTTCATGCATGCACTTGGCTCAGAGCTCTGACATTCAAGTGACATGATGTATCAGTTACATTATCAACGATTTGTCCTCAATGATCTTATAGCAATGCAAAATGTACTATGTAAGTTCGAATACATTGAGCAGTTGAAGATCAAGAAACAAGGGGATACAGGCTTAGGAGAACATCTAACTGAAAAACCATGATTATGTCTCTATGATTGATTTTTTTTTTTTTTTTCACCAATAGTGCTCTCTCTTATTACTAATGGGGTTGAATACTGTCCGATGAAACTCATCTATCTTTTTGTAGAAAATATCACAGAACCTAGTTCAAACTTAACACCTTGTAGAGCTCGTGCTTTGATTATTTGGCTTTTCATTAGCATAGTAACTGATACCTTGAGGGCAAACCTTGGTACAATGGTAAAGTTGTTCCTTGGCCACTTGAGAGACCAGGGTTCGAGTCATGAAAACCGTCTCTTTAAGTACTTAAAGGTAAGACTACGTACATTGATCCTCTCCAGACCCCGCATTGGCGGGAGCCAGCCTCATGCACTGGGTACGCCCTTCATCGGCATAGTATGTGTGACTTCCAGGAGAAATAAATAAATATGATTATTTAGTTCAAACTTGACTTGCATGTATAAGTGAAAAATAATATTCTCTTTGAAAAAATAAATAACCGAATAACAAATATCAAAGAAATACAGAAAGAAAAAAAATCCATTGTACAAACCCTGTGAAAGAATAAGAATTCCTTGCAGGAGACCTCAAGTATCATCCATAACAACCTCAAGCGTCAAACAATCTCATGGCTTAGTATGAAGAATGTTCTATTTACATTTTAGCTAACAAAGCTACATTGAGAGACTTTTACAGCTTGTGGAATTGTCAACTGTTATTAGCATGACTAATACTAAACTAGCTTGGTGCAAAAATATTCTATGTTAGTCATGGAAGCAGCAGAACCAAAACCGCTCTTCATATATCCATACATGATTCCATTACCCAGACTTAAGTGCATCATATATTAGCACATAAATAAGATGCAATGTCGATAAGATAAACCAAAACAGTGTGTCGATGCAACCAGGTGAGACAAACATATGCTAAAACTATAAACTACATTCATACCGGCCATTCCTTCACGGAACCATTGTTGCAGTGGACCATCAGCTGAAACTGATTTCAAGTTTTTTGCATATGCATCATCAGCAATAGAGTGATCAGCTTCTCTTTCGGATTTAGGTACAGCCAGTGCCGACATCATATTACCAGCAATGGCCAAGGCCGTGTCTTTACTTTCTTCGGCAGAGGATCTCCTTTCTTTAGATCGTGCCATGGCTTTCTCGCCAGCAAGAACAGAATGGATTATCAAGTTGCCATCAATCTTCACATGTTTGCCATTTCTTGGCACATAAAGCAAGGCAGGCAGAGTTTCACTGCAGTTCTGTGTGAAAACAGACCCTCCTGAACCAGTAGAAGGCCATGAACCTCTTCCCTTTGGAGTTATTTCAGGCCCAACTGCTCCATTCTGGCATCTCTTACCGGTAACCCTATCTTTCTCCAAACTTATGTTTCCATTACAAAATCCAGTATCATCAGTTCTGGTAAGATCATTACCACGACCGGTAACACTCAGAACCATACCTCTAGGCTCATTCACGATCCCACCTTTAATGACACCGACATAGTCTCTGGTTCCTCGATGCCTGAGATGAACTCCCGGCAGAATTCCAAATACTAGTATAATAAGCATCAACCCCAAAAGGCTCACGCTAGCGACCTTCTTCGTCTTGGTCTCAGACTTCTTGGCTCTGGGGGCGTGGGCAGGCTGCTGAGGCTTCAATCTAGGTATCGGAACCAAAGGAACGGGAGACCCTTGCGGCCTAAAAGCGTAGCCTGGAACCCACGGGAAATGCGTGGACGGCATTGGCCCAGAGGGAGGATAAACAGCCGGGGCAGCGCCATTACCACCCAATTGCTGTCGCAGACTCACATTCTCGGCCATAAAGTAAGAGATCTTAGCGTTCAATTCGTTAATCGTCGAGTGCATCGCCCTAACCTTCTCCTCCAGCTCTTCCACGTACTGCTTCTTCCTCTGCCTCGAGAGCTGGGCGCTCTCACGGTTCCGTATCAGCCTCGTCTTTCTCCTGTCATCCTCCTCGTTCCCGATGGCTTCCGATCGCTGTAACTTTCCACCTCTAGGGTTAGCATTAGGGTTCGAATTAAAACACCCTTCCTTCCTCTTCAGGCTCTTCTCGTTCTCCACCTTCACTTCCCTATCGACGACGCCCGATCCCGAAGAGGAGTTGCCGGAACCGGGCGAGGCCGGGCCGGAATTCCGGGAGCTTTGGTGGTCGGGCGAGGAAGAGGAGGAAAAGACGCCGGATCCATCGCCGGGGCTGGGGTCGGGCGGCACATCGGAAGGAGTAGAGAGGTGGTTCTCCGTCGAGCGTAGAAAATCGTCGACGGAGAAGTCGAAGTCGATATCGAGGTCGAAGTCGTCGCCAAAGGGAAGATCGGAGGGGGGAGGGAACAGATCGCAGGGCGAGAGGGCGGGATCGAAGAGAGGGTGGGGGTTCGAGGAGTCAAAGGGATCGACGAGAGAGGGTTCCGCCATGGATTTGTTGAGCGTTCGATGCTTCGATCTCGGCGAAGGAAGGAAGAGGAAAGGTGAGCGGTAATCGTCGGAAGGAGAAGAATTGGTCGAATCGTAAATTTAATTATATGTATAAAGAAAATCTCATATATAAATATAAGTTTAGGGATAAATGAGACAAATTAAAGTTATTATTTTTATTTTTATTTTTGAAGTATATCAAAAAAATTCGTATTTTATAAAATCTTAAAAACTTATAATAAAATCAATAATTAAAATTCATAGCAATTTAAGCTAACTAAGACTCACTTATAGTATTATTAAATAGAATTATACTTTTTATTTATTAATCAATAATATTATAATTAGGTAGTGTTTCATCTTTATTTATTATTATTCTTCCTTGATCAATGGAAACATATATATCGACCCTAAATTTAATGTTGAGAAAAAAATTAAGAATTTTTATCATCAGTTATCCTGAAATATGTGAAAAACCTTATTAATTTTTATTTGAAACTACATGGACTCTCATACAAGTCATTTTATAAAATGTAAAAAATTATAATAAGATTGACAATTAAGGTTGATAGAGATTTAAATTAATTAAAGTATATTTATAATATTTTTAAATAGAGATACAGTGTTTCAACATAGGGTTCATTCAAAAATTATGCCCCAATTAATTTGAAGCTTACTATTAGCAGTCTCTCAATTATCAATCATATCTTTATTCTCACAATCTCTTATTTCATATACCGGAACCATAGTTGTATTAACATAGCTCCTCATCATTTCGTCATCCTTTAAAGAAGGAGCATAAAAGAGATATTAAATGTTCTTAAATAGTAAAAAGGGGTTGTCAAAACATTTTTTTTTTTCACTTGTCTTAGAAATATGTCATAGTAGTTTTATAAAATTTTTTGAAATGGATTAGTAAAAGTTGACCAAGTCATATTCAAAATTGAATTATGTTATACTCGATTACAATATCAATTAAAAAAATCAAAATTTGATGATAATTATCATAATATTATAAAAAATAAAAATTATACTCTAAAATTTAAGTTAGTTTAGTATAAATTAATCAAGCTATACTCAAATTTAAACTAAGTGATACTTATCCAAAAAATTCTAAAGTTTGATAATTAAATTTTATAATGTCCACTAAAAATAAAAATAGTCTTAATGCTAGGTAGTTTTGTGAAAGTGTGAGTTACTATAGTTGAAGTTGATCTAGTTACACTCAAAATTAAATTAAGTTATATAAAATAACTATCCAAAAAATTAAATTTTAATAATTAAAATTTATAAAATCCTTTAAAAGTAAAAAATAATATTAATCATACTAGCGTCTGCAAGTTTGGATTAATTTAGTTGAAGTTAACCCAATCACACTCAAAATTAAACTAAGCTACACTCAATCATAATATTTATCCAAAAAATTATAAATTTTGATAATTAAATTATATAAAATATTTTCAAAAAAATAATATCTTAGAATCATGACCAAATAGTTTCATCCAATTTGAGTTAATTTGATTGAATTTTATATAGTTACACTCAAAATTAAATTAAATTATACTTAATCATAGAATCTATTCAAAAGGTTAGTTACGAAGAAATCATCTTCTAGGGAGGTTGAGAGGAGGGTTTCTCGGTAGGATACTATTTCTCGATTTTCGCATAGGATATTATTGTTAGAAAAAAGATAGATAAGAAATTACTAAAGAAACTTATTCACATGTCCCTCTTCTATTTATACAAGTTAGGAGGGAGGATTTCCCTCAACAAATTAGAGGATTTCGATTTCCCTCAATAGAGTAGAGAGATATTCTAGAAAATCTTATCTGCTATCATGCCCCGTAAGATGTGCTCCTATCAAGGATGCCAATCTTGGATTGATGTATTACAAAAAAAGGTGGCGAGCAAGAGGCTTCGTAAGTGAGTCGGCTAATTGATCAGTCGAATGGACATGAGAAACTCATAGTTGATGGCAGACAACTTGATCTCGTACAAAATGTAAGTCGATAGTAATATGTTTTATGCGAGAGTGGAACACCGGATTAGCGCACAGATAGGTAGCTCCGATATTGTCATAATATGTTGTAGGAGTAGAGTTGATGTTGAGTTCTTTGAGTAGATTTGTGACCCAATTGAGTTATGCAGTAACAGTGGCGATGGCACGGTATTCAGCTTCAGTTGTAAACTGTGCGATTGTCTTTTGCATCTTAGAACTCCAACTGATTGGATTAGCGCCAAGGAAGGCAATATACCCCGATGTGGATGTTCGATCATCAAAGTTTCCAGTCCAATCAGCATCGGTAAAGGCATGAAGCTAAAGTGGAGAGTCTTTACGAAGAAAGACACTATGATTGAGAGTCTCCTTAAGATATCGTAGGACTCGTTTGACCGTAGACCAATACATTGTAGATGGCCTCTGCATAAACTGTGATAATTTGTTAACTGCAAATGAGATGTCGAGACGGGTGAGAGCTAAGTACTGCAGGGAACCAACGACTTGTCGGTATTGAGTGGGTTCTGTAGTAGGACTTTCATCAGATAATTTGAGAGAGCCACTAGCAGATAGAGGAGTTATAACCACATTTGTATCCTGCATGTTTGTTTTGGATAATAAATCTTGAATGTACTTTCTTTGTGACAAAAAGACATTGGAAGATGTGAATGTAGCCTCTACACCCAGAAAGTAGTTCAGGGGTCCTAGATCTTTGAGCGAGAATCGATCTGCCAATTGTTTGATGAATGCTTGGAATTTTTATAGGGTTATTGCCTGTGACAATAATGTCATCCATAGAGACCAGAATATATATTGTGCTGCTATGGTGTTGTCTAAAAAATAACGAGGAATCAAATTTGGAGTTGAGAAAGCTAACTGAAGTCAGAAAAGAGCCAAACTTAGTGTACCAAGCTCTTGGAGCTTGACGAAGTTCATAAATAGCTTTTCGAAGTTTACATACATGCCTTGGATACTGAGGATGAGTGAAACCAGGAGGTTATTGCATAAAAATATCTCCAGTTAGAGTCCCTTGTAAAAGGGTATTATTAACATCCAATTGGCATAATTGCCAGCCCTTAGTGGTGGCGAGACTCAGGATAAGTCTGATTATAGTGGGCTTAACAACGGGACTAAATGTCTCAGTGAAATCAACTCTAGGTCTTTGATGAAACCCTTTGGCGATGAGGCGTGCCTTATATCGGGCAATAGAGCCATCGAGGTTCCGCTTAACTTGAAAAACCCACTTACACCCGATGATATTTTGTGTATGATGAAATGGTACTAGATCCCATGTTGAGTTATGGAGGAGGGCATTATGTTCCTCACACATGGCGGTACGCCAATGTAGAGATTTTTGGGCTTGAGTGTAGATGGTGGGTTCAATGGTGGTGGATGAGGAATCTACGATAATTTGAAGATCAAGGACTTGACGCGGTTTAAAAATACCACTCTTAGAGCATGTGGTCATAGGATGGTTGGAGACTACGGGATCGTGAGGCTGTGTTGTTGGAAGAAGTGGTTGAGAGTCATTGACACAGGTCGGGTCAGGTGGAGGTACATCAGGGTCACTTGGCCGAGAATGAGGTAAAGATAACAATTGTGATCTTGAACCAAGTACCCCAATAGTCGGAGAAGAGAGAAGTAGAGTAGGAATGGGCAATTACTAAACCAGAGGAGTGGAATAGTGTGGATCATGAGAGGAGGAATTGGACGATGTCATGGGAGGCTCATCCGATTGGATCGGAGGTATACCCCAATGAGAAATGGTTAATGTGGTGGTCTGCATGGTAGGAGAGGTATGGCTGTGAAAAAGAAAGACAGACTCAACAAAAATAACGTGACACAATATAAAAATTTTGTGAGTGTGGAGATTATAGCAGCGGAAAGCATTATGTTTAAGAGAATAACTTATAAAAATGCAAGGATTAGATCGTGATGTTAACTTGTGAGAAGCATAGGGACGCAACCATGAATAACATAAACAACCAAATACTCTGAGTTTATGAAGGTTTGGGGGTTTGTGAAATAGTGAGTCAAAGGGGGATTTGTATTGTAGGACTTGCGTAGGCATTCTATTAATAAGGTAGATGGCAGTTTGAAAGGTTATCGTCCAAAAGTTTGAAGGCATGGAAGCCTGATAGGGAAGTGTGAGCCTAGTTTCTACTATATGCTGATGTTTGCGTTCGGCGGAGCCAACAAGTTGAGGAGTATGCGAGGGAGACTTGAGGTGTTGGATACCACAAGCTAAGAAATAGGACGCTAGGGCTTGATATTCATCGCCACCATCAGAGTAAACTGTTTTGATGGTAGACTGAAAGTTATTTTCGACCAACTTTCAAAAAGTGAAAAAGACGGTCAAAATGTCATATTTATGGTGAAGAGGATATAACCATGTGTACTTAGTGAAGTGATATACAAAAATGACATAAAATCTGAATTTATCAAAAGATAGGATTTAGGTAGGGCCCCAAATATCTGTATAAATAATTTCAAATAGTTTAGAGGTGGAAATGGAAGATGGGCCAAATGGCTGTCGATGAATTTTATTACTAAGACATGCATCACAATGCGTTATAGAACTATGCAATTTAGAAATAGGAAGAGAGAAACTAGAAAGTAATTTGTGCTGAATAAGGGATGATGGATGACCAAGACGATGATGCCACATATCAACTGGAGCCGTAACGAAAGAATAAACAATGGGCTAGGTTATTTATGGAGCTGACGGTCATTCATAAATGTTTCCTCTATTCGGGCCCTGGACCAAGAATGCCCCCGTGCTCAAGTCCTTAATAAGAAAAGAATCAGGAAAGAATTCAATTGAAGTATTATTATTTTTGCAAAACTGAGAAACAGAAATGAAGTTGCGTTTAATATTAGGGGCACATAAAACATCGAGTGTAAATATAGTAGTATCAGAAGTAAGTGTTGTGGAACCAGTATGAGTTATAGGAAGACCGTTACCGTCACCGATGATGATATCTTCGTCGCCACCATAGGGACTGTAAAGAGACAAATTCTGAAGATCAAAGGTGATATGATGGGAGGCACTAGAGGCCACAATCCAATTGGGTTGGCTAGTCGTTGGAGTAGTGAAGAGATTTGCCTAAGGCCAGTGTGACGGAGTAGGAAGGCAGGGTCGAGATCGACAAACTTTAGCGGAGTGTCTGATTTTATCATATAGTTGGCAGACGATCCATCGTTGTTGGCTTGAAGGAGCAGGATGTCAACGTGGACGAGTATTAGAGTTGCCACTTTGCGAGAAGTAAGGAGGATAAGGGGGGTGTTGCATGAGACTCATAGGATCAAGAATACCTTTGGTGATGTTCGGAGGGTACCGAGTGTTCTTCCTCTTAGACTTATAACTGACTTGAGTTGTGATAGACGGTCCGGGCAGTTTGTCCGCATGCTTTAAATACATCTCAAAGTTAATCAACTTGTCATAGAGTTCTTCAAAGGAGACTAGCGAGTCGCGTGCCCGAATTGTAGCCGCCAACTCCTTGTAGTCGTCTCCAAGACCATTTAGGGTATGGATGATGATCTCCTCATCACACAGGGAATGACCTATCAAAGCCAAGTCATCGATGATAACTTTGATATTTTGTAGATAATCAATGATAGTACTTCCCTCTTATTTGGTCATCATTAGCTTAGATAGAAGACTGAGCTTGCGAGTACATGAATGATTCGCCAAGGTTGTTTGCAGTTTAGACCACTCATTGGCAGAAGTCACACATTTAGAAATTAATGGAGCAACGGATCAAGCAACAGAGGCTTGAATAGCTCGGAGGATGAGACGATCTTGACGCAGCCATAGTTTGTGAGCTGGATTAGGTACTGGACTAGGTTTTCCGGGGATGTTGAGCATGGCTGACGAATAACTAAAGGAGCCGTCAACGTAACCTAACAAGGTGTATCCAAATAAGAGATTAGAAAATTGAGCCCGCTAGGACGCATAGTTGTCACCCTTTGATAACTTGAAAGGGATTAGTGTGGCTGCATTGATGGAGATAAGCCTTGTAGGAGAAGAACTGTGAGTCCTTGCAGAAATAAGAACTAGAATATCATAAGAAGATAACGAAGACATCCCAGCCTCTCCTTTTTTTTATTTTATTTTTTTTATAACAGTGCTTCACGGTAGATGGAGGAAGTGGGGGAGGAAATGAGTGAGAAAAGTAGCTACAACTACGGTTGCGGTTATGGTAGGGCAACGACTGTGACTGCTGCTAAAAACTACAACTGTTGTAGATCATTGCTATTGCTGCAGCTACTACAGATTGCTATGGCTGTGGCTGTAGAAGCTACTAAAAATTGTTATTGTAGTGATGAGGAAGCTATAGCGATGTTAAAGAAATCTATAGTGATGCTGCAGTAGGAGAAATTTGTGAGAAATTTGCTAAAGCTCTATCGGCCTCAATGCAGGAAGCGGTAGCAGCAGCGAAAGCTGTTGCAGCAGAGGAAGCAAGATGTAGTGGCAGATGGTGATGGGGATATAAAACAGAATAACCTTTGTATATGAACAAATACTAGTAGGCCATGATATGCAGCGGAATTAAATCGAACCACAATCAAATAGAACACCAAGATATACGTGGAAAACCCCTTCAATGTGAAAGGTAAAAACCACGGGGCAAACTAGAGATAACCCACTATGAGAATAATGAATATACAAATCTCAATCTCTTACCCTAAACCCTAGCAACAATCACAAGAGAATAACTGGGATACAAGGATCATGTCATTGCCTACAATATCTAAAACCTCCCCAAGTAATCACAACAAGAGTCTACTGTAGATTTGATCTAACCTGAGATGAGAACACTGCTAGATGATTGAGAACAGCCTTTTTGCGTTGTCCTTGTCTTCTTCCCTTTCTTTCTTTTCCTTTTTTGCCTTGTTTTCTTCCTTTTCTTTGGAATCCCGTGGCTGTTTTCTTCTCCCACATTGCTGCCCTATTTATGCTTTTTTCTACCTCCAAAACGCAGCCACCACACCCTCCCTAATGTTAATTAGGGTTAGGTTAAGAGGGGGTGAGGTGTGGGCTGCCCAAGCCCACTACGGGCTGAATTTGTGGGCTGCCAGCCCAACAGATGGAAGCGGCTGCTGCTGCAAGAATTGCAATCATTTCTACTACCGTAGGAAGGCAATGATGGATGTGCGACAAGGATGGCGGTAGTGGCACTTCTCGCTCGAGCGAGATGCAAGAACGAGGAGGAGAGGTCACTGGCCGGGGAGCAATTGTTAGGACGGCGACCACCACGACAGCGTAGGCGAGGTTCTTGTGAGGGCGGGAGGTGGCCAAGCAGTCGGTGAGTTCAGACCAGCTATGGTGCTTCGAGAGCCAACGGGTGACGGAGCCCGTAGGCATCGAAGGAGAGGTAAGCAGCGACGCTGCCCTTTCAAGCCGGACAGGAAAGGGGAGGAGGCGGTGGGAGAGGAATCACCGATCTTTACAGTGGAGAAAGGAAGTCAACACTAGTCCTTCCAACTTCTACATCGACACTCAAAGGAGCAGCAGAATTGTATTCAAATGTCCCTTTCTTATTTATACAGGTTAGAAGGGATGATTTCCGTCAACAAATTAGAGGATTTCCTTCAACAAAAAGATATCCTCGTATAGTTAGAGAAATCTTATTTGCTATCAATTATATCGAGAGAAAACATTAACAAAGAAAAAGCATTAATCGAGAATCCATCTTTGAGTCTTTATTTCTACGAGCACTTATGTCCAATAAATATATTGTTGCTAAGAGGACATCGTTAAGGAAGAAAAATCGATGAGATATTATCTATCGTCATTCATTATAGTTACACTAAAGTTACGTTCGATTTCAAATTAACTAATAAGATCATTATAATTAAATCGGTTTAAAATAGATTTAATTTCAATCAGTTCAAATGGCATTGGTTAAATTGAGTTTCATTCATGCATATTTTTTGTCACTTATAAAAAAGAATACCGTCGATCATTTTTGGATAAAATACTCTTTTTTAATAGACATAATATTTTTATTACTAAACTAAAACGCTGTAATTCCAGTCAAAATCACAGTAACTTTATTCAAAAACACTGTACAAATATATTGACTATTTGAGAAAAGTAGCACTATGCAGGAATTATGAAAACATGTGACAACATAATAGATATGAGAACAATAAATAATAATAAATAAGAGACTTAAATATTTTAATTAAATAAATATTAATAAGTCAAAAACTTACTAATATTATTAATGTTTATATCGTCCAAGTAATTTTTTCTCGGTCTAATCAGCTGAAAAATTCTCCTTTTAAATTTATTTAATAAGAGAAAATTATTGTCATTGTTTCAAAGTTCTATCTATCACCAATTATTATTATTACTACTACTATTTTCATCTTTGTCAAGAAAATCTAGAATGGAAATTATAGAATTGGAGAAGGTGAACAAACTATAATTATAATTATAGGAGAATAAAAAATGAGATAAAGTGAATGATCAAATCGAGCATTAAAAGTATCTAGTCATATTTAAAATTTAATTCAGACAAAATTCAATTCGATCTAGTCGAGTTGTTATAGAATCAATGGATGAGGAGGGTGTTGGATTCGTTAGAGGTGCTACCTCAAAGGGATTAGTAGAAGAAGATTGACTTTCCTTATATATAGGTATTTCTGATTTTGACTTTGATTCAGGTGGAGGGGGATCAGTTTTTCTAGATAATCTAGTCCAAACATACGATAATGAGATAAAGTGGATGATCGAAGCAAAAGAGAAAAGTAAAAATAGGATTTATTAAACTAATTATCAAACTGTTTAATTTACTTATATGATCAAACGATGCAGTGAACCGACCGACACAGCCACATCGAAAATAAAAAGTAGTAGTAAAAGTGATGCTTTTGTAGGTTTGGCGACCAAAAAGAATGGTCAAGACTGGCAATGATTCATAGGCTTCCTCTTTCTTGAAAGCTTTTCAAGACTTTGAGCCACTACTTTTTGTGTCCCCATATCCCTTCAATGTCTAATAAATCTTACCTATCACCAAATAATTGTATTATTATTATTATTATTTCTATTACTTATATATTATTGTTATTATATAGTTTTTTCATGGACATAATATAATCTCTAGAATAATTAATTCACTCGTAATTTTCTTCTATATATATATATATTTGGCACATTAGTATTACATCCTTGGAATAATATTTATTTTTTTCAATTTCATTTTAGTTTATGCAACAAGTCATTACAAATTGAAAGGTTTGAAAGAAGGAGTTGATGATCTCTTAATGATCATAATCTTAATGTAATTCGAACATGTGGATGAGGACATGCACCGAATAAATAATCGATCTTGCTCTCTCTTTCATTGCCATGCTCAATCATGAAAACCCACTTTATTATGGGCTCCATTCACAAGTCTCCGACTCATGATGAACCTATGGAATATGTTTTTAATTTACTGAAATATATAATGGAGACTGAATTTTGATATTATGACTCAAATTATCAAAGCATTCAAAATAAAGATGTGTTTCATATCATGCATATATGATATGGAAAATAAAGAAATTTGTCCAAGAATTTGAATTCAATCTAATTTTTTAGTTTGACCAAAAAAATACTTGGAAAAGACTATTGCGCATAATATTAAAGGTTTAATGAGAAAGGAAATAATATCATGCTGATATGACGTGACCTTTACTGCCCCTCCTCATATCTCTATATAAAAGGACGAAGCTTGAGGCAGGTGTCTCAGCAATGGCTCCACCCTCCTCCGATCTCAAGCTCTTGGGGTCATGGGCGAGCTCCTACACTCACCGAGTCCAACTCGCCCTCAAGCTCAAAGGCCTCGCCTTCGAGTACGCGGAGGAGGACCTCGCCGACAAGAGCCCCTCCCTCCTCCTCTACAACCCCGTCTACGAGAAGGTCCCGGTCCTCCTCCACCGTGGCCGCCCGGTCCTCGAGTCCGTCATCATCCTCCACTACCTCGACGAGACATGGCCCGAGGTCCCCCTCATGCCCGCCGACCCTTACGACCGCGCTCTCGCCCGCTTCTGGTGCCACTTCGTCGACGACAAGGTAACCCCCATCTAATGCCGCCTTGCGTGAGTAGACGAGTCCTGATCTGCTGCCGGTGGCAATGCAGCTCGGCCCCGCCGTGGGAGCGGTGTTCGCGTCGCCGAGCGACGGTCAGGCAGCGGCGGTGGAGCAGGTGCATGAGAACCTGAGGCTGGTGGAGCGCGAGCTGAGGGAGGGGGCGTTCGCGGGAAGGAGGAGGTTCTTCGGCGGCGATAAGATCGGTGTTCTGGACATCGTCCTCGGTTGTGGTTCCTACTGGCTTGCGGTGTTCGAGGAGGTGATGGAGGTGAAGCTGGTCGACCCGGAGGCGTTTCCACTCTTCCACTCATGGCTGCGGGACTTCGAGGCGCAGGAGGAGGTGAAGGCGATCATCCCGGCGATCGACCGGCTGCTGGAGTACGCGAGGGGCGTTCGCCAAATGATGCTTGGGCTCAGCACTCGGCAGCAGTGACGACGCCGTTGCTGCCGATGCATGCATGGTCTATATATAACAGTAGTAATGAGAAGGAAGGCCATATTATCGTGTGTGGGTGTTGAGCTAAGTGTATTATGGATGTGTCATGTGAGCAGTGGTTTAAGAGGGTGTGAGCTATCTCGATAAGATTACCATAATATGTTGAAAAATAATTTTCATTCGAATAATGTTTTTGTGTGTTGTTTTTGATAGTAATAATAGAAGATAAGAACAATAATAGAAGAAGCTTTATTGAAAAGGTGAAGTAGCTTAGCTTGAATATATTAACATGTTCCCTTAGGAGGAAGGATGGATTTCCCTCAATAGAATAAACAGAATAGAGAGATTTCCTCATATTGGGGAAATCTTATCTTCTATCAAGTTGGGAAAATCTTATCTTCTATCATGCCCCCGCAAGATGGTGCTCCTGACAAGGATACCAATCTTGGATCGATGCAAAGAATGATTTAAAACGAGAGGCTTTGTGAGTAGGGCAAGAGCAAATCGCTGTTGTTGTTGCGATTACTGTTGCTGTAAGGGCACAGGCGTTCCCTTCGTTTGTGAGTAGGGCAAGAGCAAATCGCTGTTGTTGTTGCGATTACTGTTGCTGTAAGGGCACAGGCGTTCCCTTCGTTCTCCTTAAGTCCGCCCTTCGTTCTCCTTAAGTCCACCGACTGTTGGCAGATCAGCGAAGACAGTAAAAGCTACCGCGGTGAGGAAGATGAGGATTGGCCATGGAGCCTCTTAGGAATTTGTTGGTCACTGGCCGAAGGCAAGAGCGAAGCTTCACTTTTCTCAGCGGCGTTGGCAACGTTGGTCGCTGGCCGAAGGCAAGAGCGAAGCTTCGCTTTTCTCACTGCTCTGATACCATGATAGAAATAATAAAAGATAAAGAACAATAATGGAAGAAGCTTTATTGAAAAGGTGAAGTAGCTTAGCTTGAATATATTAATATGTTCCCTCTCCTATTTATACGAAGTTTTATTGAAAAGGTGAAGTAGCTTAGCTTAAATATATTAATATGTTCCCTCTCCTATTTATACGAAGCTTTATTGAAAAGATGAAGTAGCTTAGCTTGAATATATTAATATGTTCCCTCTCCTATTTATACAGATTAGGAGGAAGGATTTCCCTCAACAGAATAAACAGAATAGAAAGATTTCCTCGTATAGTTGAAGGAAATGGGGGTGACTAATTGATTGGCCTCATTCCTACTATTTTAAGTCGAACTTATTTGTGTAGTAAATGAAGAGGATTTTGAGTCTCGATTTAGGCAATCTAATACTGTCTCCTCGTTCTGTCAAAATCCAATGAATAATGTCCAGAATCTACTAGAAAATTTTAGATCGAGAAGTTGAAGTTTTGAATTGTGATGGCTGAATCCAAAGTTGTTCGGTCGCCTACGTTGATGATGCCACCACAGCTACCCGTCCAACTGGATATCGAAGCCATTGACGGTGGGTGCAGGAAAGCGACCTAAAGTGGATGTCGATGAACATGCTCCAGGTGGAGTCTCCTTTTCTTTGCCTGCTCGAAAGGACCAAATCGATCACAAAGCATGGTGGAAAGGAAGGATATGACTCGATCGATCCTTTATGATCTGGCTGGTCCTCCCCATCGTTTGACATCTTATCTTTGTGAAATGGAGGGCGGTCTCACTGCTGTATCATCTGGTCCATGATAATAGACTTGCATGAGATCAGAGCAAAGTTGTGTCGCGGCATGCCGATCATCCGATCATAATGAGTCTAAGTCAAAAGTAGTTTACATCACAATATATAAATTATAGGTTTATTATGTAGTTTGACTCTTTCAATCATTAACTATATGTATCTCGTTTCACATATGAATATTTTCATCATCCATCCCTGTTCATGGGTTTAGGGCTATTCCCATACTCTTAAGGGTCTAAACTTTGAGTTCACATCTTTTTCGTCGCTATGAGATAGTTCACTTATTCGTATATATACGATCATCTTCATTCAATCAAACCATAGTCTAACTAGGGTTTTTGACTTGATGAAATATTTGTCCACAATTACCCATAGCAATGTGGCTCATTTTCATTCAATCAAACCCTCAATATTTTTTATTTTTATTTTTAATTTTTGACTCATTTAGATCAAATTTTTGTCATCACATGATGATGTGATTAATTTTTATTCAATCAAATTATAGACCGACTAACTCAATCTTCTTCCTTTTTTTTCAAATTTTTGATTCATTTAAATCAAAATTTTGTCTACCTACATCCTACTTAGAGATCTCCCAATAACAAGTCTAAATCATCTCAAGATATCTTCGTCATCTCACACATTAATATTTTCAACCCTACTTGCTTATATCGAAAAATGATATCGATCAATGGTTGTGATTTAATTTACCAAGGTAATTTATACTAAGCTGGCTAAATTCTACTATCCTTTTCTGTTTAGTTGATGGGAAATTTATTCTAAGAAGTTATATATTTATTAAGACAAAAATAAAAAAATTACATATAGTTCTTATTGATTTAGAGATGATCTATAGTAGAGTTTTAGAGATTTGTTATGATGAGTTTTAGTTTTAAAATAAAAGTGTATCTATTAATCATATTGATATTATAAAAGATATGGTATGATAATATAGTTAGAATTACATGGAGTTTGTCTACTAATTCCCTAGTAGTATAAGGCTACATCAAGTATCTATATTATTTTATAAATATTTTTTATTGATAATAGGTTAATTTACTAGTATTTATTGTATTGTATTGATAATAGGTTAATTTACTACTAATTCCTATACAATGACTTCAAAGGCTCTAAGATATTTTTTGATAGTAATATATATATAACGGTATGATTTAAAATTACACTGCTATGTATTGGTTCGTTGAGTATAACGGCATGGTTTGGAAACATAACGCTTGCTCAGTGTCATTTATATAAGCCGAGCCCCTCCCTTGCACACCTAACAACCTGTCCATTCCCTCCATCGCGCTCTCCTCTCGGCTCTCCTCTGCTCTGTTGGCGATCGCGTCGTTCTGTCCGGGTCGGAGGTTCTCGCCGGCGAACGGGCACAGTTGGGAGCGAGCACCCTCCTCTTCGATCTGGGGGGAAGAATTTAGATTCTTATTGCGGTGATCTCATTCCGTCTCCTTTTCTGAAGGTTCCGTTTCGCTTGGTTCTTGAACTGTCTAAGTTTCGATTCGGGTTCAAGATTTTGTTGGATTTTGATTTTTCTTCGTTGTGATCGATCGTAATTGACGTTTCCAGCGACTTGAATTTTGTTGTTCTTGGGGTTCTTGATCAATTCTTGGTTATCGATCATCTAGGTTTTCGAGTTTCTCTCGAGAAGATCAATCTTTCTTGTTTTCTTGATCGTTTCTGGTTTCTTGATTTCTTGATCGTTTCTGGCCACAAGGCCGATTCTCGTTCTGTTTTCCATTGGCAAAAATGGCTTCTTCTCGTTCTAGGCGTGTGGAGTACGACCGCTTCATCCCGTTCCGGTCGGCGATGGACATGGACTACGCACGCTTTGCCCTAACCATGCCTTCGCGACCGCAGCGTGATGGTTCGAGAGAATCCCCATCGAGCGTGGCGTACCAAAAGCTTCTTGATGAGTGCATTTTGAAGAACAGGTCTCGTATCCTCGCTTTCAAGAC